GGGCCCGTTCACTAGTCCACTTTATCCATCCGGAAAATTGGTGTTACGTAGAGGTGTAAGTTTGGACAAAATCCGATCAACAATGTTATTAAGACCTAATTTATCTATCTAATTTATTGATTTAATTCACTATAATATTTGAATTGATTGTGGATCCCATCAAATATTGAAACTTGGTAATGATTCAACGATTTCACTAAAGTCACATCATTCGATTAAATTTTTAAATCTAAATAACATTACTCAAATCCGAAACTCCACTTCAAGTACTATTTAATTTTGAATTAGATAAGGAATTTTTTGGGGTTCAAAATTCCATCCTAGTACTGTCATTTATTTACTTGGCCATAGGATTGTCAATTTTTGACACGACACGGACCGAATATGAAATTAATGGATCGGACACAAAATTAAACGAGTCAATGAGTTAAAACGGGTCAATACACTTAAACATGAAAAAAATCATGTCTAGTTTATGTCAAAATCAAGTTAACCCAATTTTGACTTGATTAACCCATATATTTTAAACAGGTTGACATGATTCAAACACAGACCCGACCTAACCTATTGTAGACATGTTTAACTCGTTTATAGTGGTATAGTTTACATATTATGTACGACTGATGTAGTTTTAACATTATTACTTATTAATTTTTATTTTTACTATGATAATTGACAGTATAATTTTTAACATTATAATGACAGTATACTAGTATAATTCTTTCTTTAATTTTTAGGTTAAAATTTGAATGTATTTTAGTTAATTTCATTGATAAGATATGATATGTTATTTATGAAAAAATTATTTAAAATTTTGGATGAATGATTTAATGGTGTATTTAATGGGAATGAACAGGTGTGAAAACTTATTATGTGTGTTAAACATGTCCATGTTATGTATGTTAAATAGATTAAACATGTCATGTTATATATGTTAACTCAAAAACGACTTATTTATTAAACGTGTCAAATAGTTCGGGTTTGAATAATTTATTTAATGGTCAGGTCAAGTGATTGTTTACACATCTCAACAAGATTATAAACTTGTCAGATTTTGATTTTAAAATTTTTGACACAAACTCAAAATTAATCTGACACAAAATAACCCAATCCGACACGTTTGATACTCTTACTTGATCGGACCAATTCATATAGAATTTCAATGATTCGCAATTGCATCACCCATTGTCTAATTCGTAACTTAACTTATTGGCACGAGATTCAATCTTTCTCCTTCGACGGAGCTCCCCTTCTTTCATATACCCCATAAGGGGTATTTGGATTGACAAATAAACCTGGATAAAGCATGTTGGATAGGATAAATAACCAGTGGATCCCAATTATCCATGGTTTGGCAAGTCATTTTAAGTCTGGACATGCGTAGCCATGAAAAAATTGGGCCATAGTGATTGGGCTTGTTTATCCCCTCCGAGGTGGATAATCAAATCCCGCTAAAACTTTGGGATTAAAAAACTGCCTACGAGATATACAATGCAATTACCATTACACCCTTGTACAGCACACCACTTTAAGGTTTTTTATTTTCTCTTTCCCTTTTTCACTTGTCCCAACTTCCAATGGCGCCGAATCCTCCCCATTGGCAGTGGTGACGACAGATTTTAGGTGGTTGATGGAATGGAGGAGGGGCAGTGTTTGTCATCCATGGAGTAGTTGCAGAAGAATTTCACAAAAAATCAAGAATGATATGGAAATTTCTAGATGTAAAATAGATGAGTTTTACAATAGATACTTTTGTAGAAATAGAGACAAGCATTTATGAGGGGTTGAGTTTGTTAGTGCTCGTTTATGTATCGTTGGCTATGGTAGGAGGAGCTGGAAATGGAGTTGGAGGTGGCGGTGCTGCCGTGTGGTTTAATGATTCTAGTTAGGGTGGGTTTGGGGGTGCCGAGGTTAAGGTGGTGTTGGGTTGGAGTTGGGCTGAATTGGGTTTTTAATTTCTAAGGATGTAGATTTTTTTTTTCTTTTTGTCGCTATTTTAAAAAAATTAAGAGGATTTGTAAAGGTAATTTTGGTGGTGCACATTTTTTTTTGTCGAACGTGGAATGCCTTAATTGTGTGTGTTTTTAGGTATAAAGCAACGGTTCATTAATTTTAGTATTCATATTCGTTTGTCTTGTGCATTAATTTTTCATATATCCATCATTTTTTTTTAACTTTTTTTATATTTTTGGTGGATCAAATAATTTTGTGATCGCATTCTAAAAATGTTTTCAATTTGAAATGTGTAAAAGTTTGAAGTATATACAATACATAAATTTTCCTACTATTTCACTTAAATAATAAAGTGGTAATCAACAATTCTCAAACCAAACATGACATAAGATTAAATAGGATTTAAGGATAAAATTGTCAATTACTATCAAACTTATGAGATGTTTTCAAAAAAAGTTATAGTTTATCCATGGTTCCATCACATCATAAATTATTAACCAACTCTGAGATAGGATTAAGTAATTTATTTTTATTCCACAATTAATCCCGGTTATTAGAATTTCATTAGACTGATTAGGACTTTAAATCCAATGCAGTCCAATGCATCCGTGATTTGCAAAACACCCCCTTATCTGGACTTAAACTGAGTCAACGCGCCTACAAAAAAAATTCTACCCAAGTAATAAATGTAGATTTTGTACGGCAAATAATTAAAATTAATATCATAAATTGAAAGATAAAAATTTAAGATAGAAAAAACAATAAAATCATGACACGAAGTTATAACGTGATTCAATATAATATACTCACCTTAATATATTATATATAAGTTGATATACCAAAAAATTACATCGATGTATTATTTACTGAAAATTTGGTCATCTGTTACATAATACTCGACTTTATTTATGGGAATAAAATATTTTTATCAAAATCTAATCAGATACAACTTGATCTCTATATTTCTTATCACATGTTGTTTTGATATCAATTCCAAATAGTAGTTCAAGTGATAACATGAATGAACTATAAACTCAAATGTTCTGAGTTTGAAATTTTACAACTTTACAATTCATTGGGATCAGACTATGAGAGATTTATCTCTCATGAATGCCTTAATCTCAACGTGAATGACCTAATTTTGATCGAATTGAAAAAAAAATTTAGTCGTGGTGCGCATAAACAGGTTCGAACACTTTGACTGTTGAATTAAAAACATAAAAAAAGGGCATTGGATACGGATCTTGAATGAATGATAGAAATTCTATCTATATAATGCATTCATTTCATGTGAACAATAAATTAGAGACTTGTGAACTAAAAAAAATGAAATTATTTTCTATCAAATTGGGTTGACTTCTGAATAGTTAATCGAATTAGTCAGTTTCAAACACATGGATATAAAGCATAAGGAATCTTATTTTTTGAGTACTCATCGCTGAAAGTTTTTTTATTCTATGAGAAATTTCATGGCTCTTTCATCTCAATTTCGGATTGAAATTTCATATAAAACAATACATTTTCTTCACAACATTTGTCACTCTGCTACATTTTTCCTTGTTGTGCATATGAAAAATGAGTTCCAACAATAATCTCAAAAAAAACGATCATAATATTGAGAAAATTCTGCAAAAAGTGATAGAGGGTTGTTTGAGAATCGACCTGAACCTAGGTTGAACTATTCAATTTCGAATTGAATTGGAATTGAACCCGAATTTAAGGTAAAATTGTGTAAGTCTAATAAGAATCATACCTAAACAAAACCTACTTTTAGCCCAAATTTCGGCATGGAAAATAAACATGAGTTAAAAATTTTAAGCATTACCAATACTTAGATTGAAGGGTTCGGGTGAGTGTAGTTTAAAATGGGATTGAAGGTGGCAAAATTAAGGTTCAAATTTAAGGTCATTGAGGCGACAACGACGATGCAAGTGGATTTGGTACTTAATCCACCATTTTACGTAGCCTTTTGCATCACAATGCAAGTGTTCTAACTCATATTGGAGAGTGCATCAGTGAGATAATGTATGATCAGCATGCACTAAAAACTATATACTCTCTCTCTCAGTCGGTGTGAGGGCAACTATGATGGTTATGCTGTTAAAAAAAATGATTGTAATTGACTTTAATGGCAGTTACCTAACAAGATTGGAATATGATGGAGTTTAAAGTTGAATTATGCAGGTTGATAACGTACTTTATGTAATTTTTAAGCCAAAAAATAATTTCATAGAAAAAGTACAAAAAATTAATGCTCTTTGTAATGGTGTTTATAGTGTATATATATATATAACTAGCTTGCCCATATCCATCAGCTAACAGAAAAATAATGATATGTTAGTACTAAGCCAACTCATCAAAGTGATAAGGTCGCACTTAATAAGCAAAAAATAATAGCCACATGAATAATTATTGTTTCTCCTTCCGGCCATGACATCAACAACCTCCCATACTAGAATGGCTTTTCAGCGGACCAATTGCTGGTTTAGAAAGTACCCACAAACCCCGAGCAGTTTAAGCGGTAATGGCATGACGAGTTTTAAATTTAGACATCTTGAATTTGAATTTTGATAAATTTTTAGAATTTATCCTCAAAAATATCCTAGTCTCGGCGTAGATGATCTGCCTTTGATTGGATCGGTGAAGAGATTAATCGAAGTACACGTAAGCTGACTTGAACACCTCGTTTAACCCTCTCACCCCCCCAAAAAAAAAAAAAAAACCTACAAAAGAAAGATACAATAAGGAATTAATCAGAAGATAAAGTTCACAAAAGGCCTGCTCATGAAAAGCCAGAATGAGAATACAATATAGACAAGACTCGAGAATAAACTACACATCCTTCTAACTTAATTTGTATATATACACATGCCTAAAACGAGAATTCACACCTGATCAATTTCTCTAAAACTATTCTCCTCTTTCAAATTTGCAGTGGTTTTATTAATTTTTTCGAAGTCTAAGACTAGTGTTTTGAAAAGTTTATAAGCTGTGTGAAAAATTAAAGGTTCTGCATCTTGTTCAAATCCAATTTCTTGTTCTTTCCCATGGCTAAGATATATCCTCAAACACTTACTAATTCCTCTTACATGACCCTTGAAAGAGAAACATTTACATTATGGATGAAATCCCTTGTGTTTCATGGAAATGGCTGCACTGTCTATGGATCAAATGGCGAAATCGTTTATCGAATCGATAACTACTACAATAGCAAATGTAGCGATGAAGTATATCTGATGGATCTCCGAGGCCAAGTTCTCTTTTCTATACGGCGAAAGGTACTTAATTAATGATGAACTGAGTCATAATTAGTAAACTACATGTGATGAAATTGGAAGATTATCTCAACTGAATTATTTTTGTTTGTTTGTTTCGCAGAAACTAAATGTTTTTGGACTTTGGGATGGCTATAAGTGGAGTAGTTCAAAAGTGGTGGAGGAGAGACCATGGTTTCAAGTAAGAAAAAACAGCAAGATTCTGAGGGGAACAATGAATTGTGAGGTTACTTTGGGGTGTGATAAAGCTAAAGGAAAGTGCTACAAGATAGTAGGTTTGGTTGGAAAATCAGCATTTAAGATTATGGACAGTGAAGGCAGACTTGTTGCACAGGTTAGTTTTATGCTTTTTTACTTTTCAACTACCTGAAAATCATTACAATCACGTGTTTTTTAGACTCATGATTATAATACAAATTTATACAATCACTTTGTAAATTACGTGTATTGATTGAATGAGTTAATGAGGCCAAGGGAACTTTAACTTATGATACGGGGATTTACGTCTCGCATCATATTCAACCACTAAACCAAGCAGTGCGGGTTATGATTCTATGTTTTTGAGCTCTATTCTGTCTCAGTTAACAGTTGGTATCTGTTGGGGTTTCTACAGGTGAAGCAAAAGCAATCATCTTCAGGAGTTCCGTTGGGAGACGATGTAATGACATTAGAGGTGGAACCACAGATAGATCATTCTCTGATTATGGCTCTTGTGACTGTCTACGGATTGATCAATCACAAGCTGTGAATAATTATTATCTAAATCACCAAACTATTCACTTAAATTCTTTTAATTTACATGTTTCTGCAACTTCCATTTGATGTAAACAATGATTGAAAAATTCTTATTTATTTCATGTAAAAAGGAGAGGAAAGAAATAATAAATGGCATTTGTATTTCCCTTGAACAAGCACATACTATGCCTATGTTACGCCTCCTTTTGTTTATTCGATTGGACAAGCAATACTACTCCTATGTCACGCCTCCTTTTGTTTTTCACAAAAAGAATTCGACGCCTATGTTTATGGCTTAAATCATTCATCGCAACACAAAGTCGAGCAACATGTGATTCTAGACGATGGCTCCCACCCCACGAGCTACCACCGCCCTATCAAACTAAAATATACGAAGAGTGCACAAATTACATGACATATAAAAGACCACCGGTGGCCCTAACACATTTATGTTATTTGTGTTTGTTGGAGTTATAGTCTAGCTTATTAGGGTTTTGCCCTTTTTGCCTTTTTTTTTTTTTTTTTACTTTTTTATCTTTATTGTGATTTATTTGTTTAGTTATATATACCAGAACTCTACACTTAGTTTGTATTCTTTTTTCCACTCTAAAATTTGGAACACAACATTAACATCACTGTTTATCCATCGCGTATATACAACCAATCATAAATCCCCAAAATATAGGTAAAAAGAGCTCAAATTTTTTAACCATCTATAAATACATAACACACCAAAGTTTAGTAATTAGACTATTAATACCAATTTTTCCAAAAAAGAAAACTTTCAAACTAATTATAAGGCTAAAAACTACTAATCATTTAGATCAAGGTAGAACTAAAGGCGATCAATTCTAATTTAAGATAGTGAAGTTATTCAATTACGAAAAATTATCAAAAACAAGAAAAACACATTTTTCAGCCCTAAATGAATGAATTTGCAGGAAATCCCCCGAGTTATAGCATCCCCTGTTAGGGGTTCAATGAGTTCATTTTTCCTCGTTATTTTTGATTGAACATGAGTGTTTCGAAACCCATGTATATAAAAGTGGCTCCAAAAAATTTAAACTGTTTGACCGACCTGACCCACATCTATATCGATCCAAGTGTTGTGATTTGATCTGCATCAACAACAATAGAAACATTTCATATCTAAAACTTAATCAAACAAAATTTGAAATCTGTATCTCTCAGTCTGTAAATATATTATGTGGTTGAAGAACTCAAAAACCTAGTAAGTAACCATATCACAACTCGAAAGTCGGTCTCACACAAATCAATAACTACCCAACCTTATAAATAGATAACTACGCACTATTCTTCCATGTAAGTCAATAACTATTCAAGTGAGGTTTGTTATTGGTTGATGATATCAGGTCATTAATATTAACATAATATCACCGTTATATTAAATATTATCTCAAAAGAAAAAAAAAAAACAGTTTATTGTGACACAGTGGATAGCAGATTATGTTTAAAAAAAAAAAAAATTAACAATCCAGTCGATGATTAGTTTTGTGTAGCCAAAGTTTATCAATCCACGCTGACCACAATAACAACAGTTACAATATAAAAGTTTTATTGGTAGGACCTGGTCGTGTCTTACCTGGTATTCAAGTCCAATAGGCACCAGGCAATGGGATGAATGGGAATAGATGTCAGTTAGATATTAGAGTCATGGGTTACGTTAGTCGGTAAAGTAGTTTTTGTGCTTTTTTTTTTTTATAGTCGATCTTTGTATATGAAGGCTCTTGTATCAATGAAAAGGATATGTTGTGATGGGATCGGTTCAAATCCGCCCTAAAATTACAAATTAGACCTAAAATTATAGTCGGGATCCAACTCAGAGGTCTAGTTTAAGAGTACAGAACATGCCCACTACGGGAAGGAGAAAGTTAAGCCAACCACACCATTTTAAATCAACCGTCTCATGGTAAAAGAGTCGGTCCATAATTGACAGGTGAAAGAAACTCTTTTGGACGCACATATCACCACTTCTACAGAATTGTCTCACTTATTATAAGAAGGGTGTCATCTCCACTAAACTATCTCAGCTGATACAAGAAATTAGCTTTAATATGTTAGAAGACGCCTATAAATTATAAGTTTCACTTACACAAGAGAGACATCTCACACCTATCACTCACACTTGAGCACCCTACACTCTTTGAAGTAATAAAATATTGAGACTATTGTAGTCTTTCACAGTAGAATAAGTCACGTTGATTGAATTATTTAAATTGTGTTTTGCTTGTGTTGACTCTCATCATTTATACTTAACAAGTGGTGTATAAACATATTTTGTATATTAAATTTTTTGATATACTTTTTTAGGAAGGCTGTACAAGTCGGGTTTACTAAGAATCGAACTACCGTGGTTTCTAATCGCCTCGAAGCGGGTTTTCTGCTCCTAATCGCTCGGATTGTAACAAAGTCACCGAGGGCTCGACTTGTTTTTGTAATGACTAATCTATCACTAAATTAAAGTGAGAAAACACATGTATTGGTGAAGATCGAATGACATAAACATCAGTTTTGTCGCTTACTTTACTAGCTGACACTTGGATACCATGGCTGCTTGCTTAAATGTTGGTGGGTTTAGACCTAAAAACCTAATTCACAACTTGACGTACGCAAGTACATCAGATGCAAGTGGGTCTGACTCATTTTGGGATGTGAAATGTTGAGATGGTGTATCAGCATACCACCAGTACTAACCTTTAACACTTTCCCTATCAATACTTTTTCTTTAATTGCTTTAAAGAAAACATTAACTTATATCATTCACTTT